TGTTGGAGCAGACAACGAGGAGTTCGCGAAGGGCGCTAATCAAGCGTGAGGACCAGTTTGCGAAGGCAAAGTCGAAGGCGTTCGCGGGAGGTTGGCGGACGGAGGCGCGAAGGATTGTTCGCGGGAGACTGCCGCTAACGCAGGAGTTTGCGAAGGCGAAGCCGAAGACGGTTCGTTGCAGGTTGTTCGCCGGAGGATAATCAAGGAATCTTCCATCTCCACCGGAGGGAATATTCCCTCTAAAACGCGGGAGGCATTCGCGGGATTCAGTTCGGAAGTTGTGTGAAGCCGAAAAAGGAAAGCAGAGGCGGAGTTTTTTTTGGAAGGAAAACGCAAGCGGAGCTTTTCTGGAAGGAAAGCGGAGGCGGAAGAAGCCGAAAAAGGAAAGCAGAGGCGGAGTTTTTTTGGAAGGAAAACGCAAGCGGAGCTTTTCTAGAAGTAAAAATGAGCTTTTCTGGAAGAAAAAATGAGTTTTTCAGAAAAGAAATGGGAGCTTTTCTTTGAAGTTTAAGGAAAAGGACTTCTGGGAAAGTTTAATTAAGGAAAATTTAATAAAGAAAAAATCTTTTTCTAGGAAATTTAATGAAGGGAAATACTGGGAAAGTTTAATTAAGGAAAATTTAATAAAGAAAGAATCTTTTTCTAGGAAATTTAATGAAGGGAAACACTTAATTAAGAAAACTTAATTAAGGGAATATTTCAATCCTTTTTTGGAAAGATTCTGTTGATTTTTCTGAGAAACTTAATTAAGAGAATATTTTTTAATCAATTTTCGGAAAAATTAAGAGAAATACTTAATTAAGAGAATATTTTTTAATCATTTTTCGGAAAAAATCAATTTTCGGAAAAATTTTGTTTCTTTTCTGGGAAACTTAATTAAGGGAAATACTTAATTAAGATAAACTTAATTAAGGAAATATTTCAATCATTTTTCAGAAAGATTCTGTTGTCTTTCTGGGAAACTTAATTAAGAGAAGCTTAAATTAAGAGATTATTTAAAAGTATTTGTGGCAGGATCAGAGTGAGTAGGATCAGAGGGAGTACAATTTCTGGCTCAAGCAATTTGAAAATTCAACAAAGAAATTTGCAGAGAAGTTCGTTGCAGGATAAATTTTAGATGGCAATTTCTGATATAAAATTCGAAGTGGTGAAGTTCGATGGAACTGATAACTTCGGATTGTGGCAAACAATGGTCAAAAATTTGTTGGCTCAACGTGGAACCTTGAAAGATTTGCGGGCAACAAAACCAGATGTCATGGATGAGGGGGATAGGAAAACCATCAGAATTGTTAAAGGTGCACTGACTATGATGAAAGGAAAGTTAACTGCAAGTAATATCTATAAACATTTGAGGAGTGCAGTTATAGGTAGAGTTTACTCTATTGGATCATACGATGAAAATGCAGAATATATGTTGACCAAGTCATGTACTATCAACAAGTTCTTGCACCGCTTGAACTTGTTGAATGTTTGCAATTGTTAGACGTCATGGTGGCCCAACCCACATTGGTGCATAAGAAACTCCATGATATAATTCTCCTAAGGGGCAGAATATTCGCCAATGTGGAGATTTGTTAGGTACGACTTATTACCATAAATGAGACAGATGCTGGAACGGAGTGGAGCGGAAGGATCTGTCCAATCAGGGGAGTTTCGTTATGTGGGTTGGGGGTGCGGGAACAACACAGCAGGGGAGTTTCATTATGTGGGTTGGGGGTGCGGGAACAACACCTCGCGGTTTGGTACAGGGGTAATTTAAATAATTACATATTGTACTATAAGGTTATATATATGTCATGTTTGTAACCCTAGGTGAAGGAGATTCTGAATCTTGTATTTTGTACTCTTTTATAAATATTGAAAAGGAAGTCGCCGATTTGCTCCCAATGATGTAGGCATCTTTGTTGAACCTCGTTAAATCTCTGTGTTCTTCTGGATTTGTGTCGATTCCTATTTTTTTTTCGCTCTAATTTTTCAACATTAACCAACGAATTAGCAACACAGTTTGCCAAACTATAATCTTTATTAACTTACCAATTAACACAACAAATAATCTCTAACTAGACATGGTGCATTCTAAATTGGGTCAAATATTGGTTTATGAGCTGTTTTGAGTAAGTTTGAAGTATTTATAAGCAACATGTTTGTTGTAAACACTACATGTAATAAAAGTTGAACATCAACCTCAATTCATATTTCAAGGAAATTTTATTTTAGACATAATTTTTTACCATTAATAAAATCTTTCCGTTCAATAAAAAAGATGATTCAAGTCCTATATACTCATAAAAAGGAAGTTTCACATTCCCTTGATGATCCCTAACTAATCCCAAACAAGATACCTACTCAAATTATCTTTAGGTAGTATTCCACATTAAGGTGGCGTTTAGTTGTAACTTTGATTTACATTAAGTAGAATTTATCAAATCCGATAAATCCAGATTTATCTTTGGTGGCGGAGTTTGCGAGCGATGACGGAATAAATCTGCATTGCAATCGGATTTAATAATCCAAATTTATGTCGAGAAAGAAATTGAATGCGGGGAAAAACAGACAGAATGCAAGAAAATTCGATTTAATGGAAAGTTGGATTTAAATGTTAAAGTTTTTGGTGTTTGGATGGGTCGGCTAAATCCTATTAATAGTATGCGACCAAACACCGCCTAAGTTTAATAGGTTTCAATCACCTAAACATCTTTGTAATGTAAAATAGAATTCAGTTAGGAGAAATGAAAATAAACTGTACAAATCTTCTCTTTTGAAATCCTAAATCCAAAAGATTTGCCTTTTTAACTAGTCAAATTTTGTTGGTCGCTTCTAAATGATAATTTTCCTATTGAATTTGATACTTTTGTACTTCTTTCAACTCAAGTAAATCATAACACAAAAAAAAGGATTAATAACATATGTGATCCTTTCTTAAACTTTGTGACTAGAATCATTTCAAGTGTAGATAAACTTTGAGATTAGTTAGTTCTATATTTCTATAAAAGGTGTGGCTAGGTAAAGTTCCTAAATCAATTGAACTCTTTAGGAAGAGATAAGACATTTCATTAGAACAATAACATTGACATTGCAGCCAATTCTTTTTGATAATTTATTAAAATGGCAATGCACCTATCAATGGCTTCTAATAGAGAAAGGAATTAATTAATCAAATGTTTTTTATGCCAAAATCAAATATCAGTCGAGGGAGAGACATGAATCTTAAGCTTATCCTGTTTTTTAAATATTGATGTTTGTCTTATAATAGTCTATCTGGTTTTTTGAAATGGTCTTACGATTGGTGGTTCAATTTATTTGAAGCCTACACTGTTTATCTTTAATATGATTGAGATTTTAAGGAATTTCATTTCATTGCTCTTTGATTCAACTAAAACTTGAAGACCTTCATGATGTTGGTATTCAATTCTTTTATAATTTTTTCATCCTTTGTTGAGTATTGATACTGATTATTAATATGAATGCTTGCCATCGACAATCATGATTAACGAAAATCTACACTTTACTTCTTTGTTGTTAGGCAGTGATGGGCATTGTAGTCATGGGACTCACATTAATATCATCTATTGTAAAACGTACAAACATGCTAAATATATATTCAAATTGAAAGTGTGCCAAATTATCAAGATAAAATCAGTGATAATTAAGGATCAAAGCACAACTATATACTTTGTTTTCAAGTCTTCAAAATTATGACACCTTGCTCATTGATTTGGTTCGCAAGTCGAAGTCCAAGGTTTGATTTTATTGATTTCCAATTGATCTGAGGGTCTTGACAAAGAATTTAAGTAGATAAAGCTACACTTAAACTCATTGACCATTAGACCTTAATTATATTTTTAAGCTTACTATAAACTTCATTAATCTAATTGTCGAACTTTTGCCTCCTATTTAGAAATATCAGATTATCAACAACAAATGATATGTGAGAGGCATTGAATAATTAGTATAAAAATAGATGGAGGAAAATATACATAATGAATCAACTAACTCACTAGATCAGATGAACCCTAATATTGGCATAATATAACTTTCTACTGAATAATTAGATTTTGTATTCATTTTCATTTGATCATTATGAACTCTCACCTCTCAGGTTTTTGATCGGGTTAAAACTAATTCCTCTTTAGTAGATCACCACTAATCTGAGCAAGCATTCAAATATCATTTCTTATGTATTTATATATCTAACACCTATCTTTAATATCACATAAAAAATATCACGATTTTAACTTTTCAAAAGTGAAATACACATTTTCATGCATATGTAAGTTGGCATATATGTAAAAATTAAACTGTATGTGTTAAATATGTAAATTCATAGAAATTAAAGGGTGTGTATATCTATGAGCATTTCAGTTTGGGATCTAAATAATTGTGGAAACTCATACAAGCTTTAATGAAATGTATTTTTAATAATCAATGGTTATTTCTCAGATACTTACCTCATTGGAACTGTCATGCTCGTGTTTGGAATGGGTCTCTATGAGATCTTCATCAGCAAATTGGATGTTGCCAAGAATTCTTCCCACGGATCAAGTTTCATTGGGCTCTTCAAACTTCCGGTATGTTTCTTCTTGTTCAAAGATAAATGCACAAAGAAGGAGGCATTTAAATACATAGGACAATTCTTTTGTTTTTACATATAGACATAACACAGAAAATCTTTAGGGGATGTTTGGTAGCACGTTTTAATAGGATTTATGATCGGATTTATTAAATCCAGCCAAATGCTAAAGTGCAGGAGTTCGATGGGTTTATTAGTTTTTCAATTTTTTGGGTCCCAAATTTTACCTTCGGTTTTTGCTTCAATTTGGATTTATTAAACCCAAGGATAGGGTGGATTTAATGGATTTATGATTTACGGATTTACTAAGTCTTGCTAATGCTAAATCCTACTTTCAGTCAAACACACCCTTAATATCAGATCAAAATAGCACTTCCATCACTTTTTAAAGGTGAAATATACATTTTTTATGCATAGGTTTAAAGCACCAAAATGTGTTGTGCAAAATAATGCAGAAAACAAATTCACACAACAAACAAACAACTAAACACAATGCGATTTACGTGGTTCACAGCAAAGCTACCTACGTCCGCAGGTAGAGGTTATTCGACTATCACCGCATAGGAAGAAAGGAAAAAATCGGCCGAATTATAGTTACAATTCAAGACATACCTATACTTCATAATCTCTCATATAAATAAGAGAGGAATACTGCATACAAATTAGAAATATTTCAAATATAGGAAAGATCATGTAATTAGATCTCCTCTAATTATGTTTCATAATATAGAAAAGATCATATTATCAAATTTCTTCAAAATAGCTTACCTAATATCAATCTTCTTAATATACACTCTTCCTAAACTACAACCATTATATTTAATAATTTCCATAACATTATGTATGTAAATATGAAAGTTTGGGTGTCTAGATTTGTAAGCACATAAGAATTGTGTGGTACAAATTATCTCTATTTCTCCTCTTACTACTCTCCCTCCCTCTCTCTCCTTGGTTTGATACACTTTATATTTGTGTGAGGCCACATTATGTTGTTTTGTTGCAGTTTTGCTTCTTTTCAAATTAAATTTATAGAATTACCAAGTAAATTTTACAGGAAAAACCCAAATGGTTGGAAATCAAATCAGTGAGTGAGCTGAAAACAAAAGTGGGACATGCTGTAGTTTTGGTCCTGCTGATTGGCTTGTTTGATAAGAGCAGGAAATTGGCGATATGTTCTACTAATGATCTTCTCTACTTTGCTGCATCCATCCTCTTGTCCTCAGGCTGTCTCTATCTCCTCTCCATGCTTCAGTCTTAAAAAGTTGAAATAATTGAATATATATATTGTATAGAAGAAGAAAATGTGTGAGTTAACAGTTGTTAAATAATGATTCTAAGCATCATTTTGTAAATAATAATCTTCATAAATGGCATAAAAGATTTACTAGATGTGTGGAGTTCTTGGTAAGGTATATTTGAAGGTTATGTTTGATCTTCTTGCCTTTAGTTTGAAGGGACATTTACAGGCATACCATCCAGTTTCTAAGTATTTTCATATCTAGCACCTAATCTTTACTTTTTTTTTACATTTAGACCATCCAAATCTTTCATATGTCATTAAAAATACCACTATTTTGAACTTTAATTAGTGAAATTACACCTTTTTGTAGTATGCATGCACGAATTGAAGTTTAGGTGTTAATATATAAATACAAAATTGAGTTGTATGTACATAAAATATTTATTTTTATTTCATTTTTAAAAGTGGCTAGTTCCGCCGGCTGTAATTGAAGCAGCGTTGAGTCAAGTATGCCATGATTTGAATTTGGCTTGATCGAATTATAAGCCGTTCATATTTAGTTTGAACTTTAGTTCTTCTTCATATGTTGAACCACTAATGTGCTCGAACTTCAAATATTTTTTTATCTATTTTTGAATTAATAAAAAAAGGTTTACGGAAGATTTACATGCATACCACTTAAATTTTATATATGCACATATCTAACACTAAAAACTTTATTTTTTATATAGGAGGTATTTCACTTTTAAAAATTGAGTGCAATGCATGTAATATATGAAAGTTTTGATGTTCCATAATGTAAATATATGAATTGCATGGTATGAATATAAATGCTCCAAAATCAAACATAAACTATGCCAAAAAAATAACTTCTAAAAAACTAATAACAAATATATATATATAAAAGCCAAGCCCAAAATAAAAAGATTAAATATATAACATTTCTCATAAATCATGCATGAGCCTGTTAAAAGGGCATTAAATAACTTATTTATTTCATTAATACAACTAAACCCTTTAAGGCCATATCATAAATACCCCAAAAGACTTGAATTTCAGCAAAACCTCAACGCTGCTTCCAGTTCCTCCTCATCCACACAACTGTAACCCAGTGTATAGGCTCGCGCTGATTATAGACAGCAAAAGAAAAATTACAATCAGCAAGACTACTTCAAAATTGTAAATAGTCGGGGACTAATTTGACATTTTACTCTATAGAGAATTATAATCTAATAGAGGAGCATTTAGTATTTATAATGTATATATAAATGATCAGCAATGATTGTTTCAAAGGCTGTGGAATTACCAAAACGACCAGATCCCATAAATGGCTCCATCTCATCTTGCTGTTGATCCTGCTAATTGAGCAAGTTACAGAGGATGAAATATAATGTACAAATCTGGCATATATGATTGTTGGAGATCAAAACAAAAGAACTGATGAAAAGCATTTAGGAAACGTAGGTGCAGACAGTATATTATGCTTCTATCTATCATCCTGTGGATTAAACTGCAACGCTCAATATGACAAGAAAATTTGTCTGCGTTGTATTAGAAATGAAAGGAAGATTTACATACATACTACTCAATTCCTATGTATTTGCATATCTAACAGCTGACCTTTAACAATTTTTACATACATGCCCATCTTGCCTTTGCATGAAAATGTGTATTTTACTTTTTAAAAGTTAAAATGGTGGTATTATTGATATAATGTAAGAGATTCAGGTGATATAAATGCGAGTAAATTTCTATTAAATCTAGAGTTAGTAAATTTGCACAATCATTTGTATGGCAAATGTATTACAATGTTTTGGGACAATTACTTTTAAGTTTAATTTTTAATTTATTAAATTTGATTTTATATCATGAATTGCCAACCTAAAGTCATACAATGTTCATATATAAATAGGGGAACTTTGTGATAATATACAGAGTTCAGATTTGTTTTATATGTGTGATTAATATTGCATCATACTTCATACACCCTAGATTATATGGTGGCTTAATTTTCAATTGATTAAATTATTTTAAGTTTCCCAATTTCTATTAACTATTTCTAGTCAATAGCTATTAAATTATTGTTTGCATAGGTCTTTTAGTGATTTGAAGTTTTATGCATAAAACAAAAATTATCAAAATTAAGGATTTGTAATTTGTGAAGGTTTCAGTGTGATTACAGGATGCATTTTATTGCAGGTATGCATTAAAACACTAGCTTCTACAAAGCATGAAGAGTGAAGCATTAGAAAATTTAAATTCGCCTGTATTATAATGCATGAAAGATTTTACATATCTTTACCCTCAAGCAGCAAAGGTTGTGAGCTTTCATTCTTGACAAAGAAAAACAAAAAAAGTGGTTTACATACATACCACTCAATTCCTATGCATTTACATATTTAAGACCTAAACTTCAAATTTTTATGTACATACCACTCAATTCTTATGTATTTACATATTTAACACCTAAATTTTAAATTTTTATGTGCATGGCACCTTACCATGCATGGAAGGATGAATTTCATTTTCTAAAAGTTAAAAAAGGTGGTATTTTTTATGTGATGAGAAAGATGTGGGTGTTATAAATGTAAAAAAGTAAAGTTGAGGTTTTAGATATGTAAATGGCCCTAAGAAAAGCCCATGATGCAAAATAACAAAAATCAAGAAAAATCAATTAAAACTTACATTATCAGATTCCTCTTCGGGAGAAAGCCATCTGTCAAAGCATTGACCAGAAATAGTACAAACCATAAGTCCGCTATCTTGATCCCAAACAGCTTCTCGGCAAGTATCATCACATACTGCATAATCAAGGACAATGTCATAAAAAGTACGGGCATTAGCATACATAGCACAAAATTCTGATAAATTTACATATGTAACACCTAAACATTCATACTTACATGCATAACACTCAAATCATTAATCACATAAAAAATATCACCATCTACACCATTTAAAAGTGAAATAATCCTTTTCATGCGCGGGTTTATAACACCAAGGTGTTATAAGTTTAAATATCACACTGAGGAGTTTGTTATTTAAATACATAAGAGTTGTGGTGTGTGTATGTAAAGTTCCATAAAAAGTTTGATGTAAACAAATATACATTCCGAGAAGTTGTTACCATGCACACGACCAGTTTTCTCGCAGAGAAAGACATCCCCAATTTGAGAATAGGTGCAGCTATTTCCGGAGCAAGTATGCCCCGTTACCGTTTCATCAGTGAACCCTCTGCTACTTCTCCAAATGGAGACTTGATCAGCAACTGTTCTATCAAGGATTATGTGATCATCATTGACCTTCACATCAGGAAAAAAAAAAAAAACATGTTAAATTAGTTTCTTGATGAGGTTTGCTGCGCTGGATTTTCTTGCAAATTTAATAACTTTGGCTAGTTATTGCTGTGTAAATCCATTTCTAAAGAATTGCAGCAATATTTATAATGTTGAGCCCTGAAACGACCATAAAGACCCTACTTGTGAAGGAAGTGGTGCTTGACTTCTCTTTGCAGCCTGCATTTGGATAAAATAGTCCTTGAACTCGAATGGTGTGTTCCTAACAAACTCGGACATATCCTCTCGATCACGCTGCTCAGAATAAAAAAAACAATTAAAAAAACATCAATTTTGGCAAATATTATTTTTTAAAGTGCCACTCAGATACATACCACAGAATTCTTATCTATTTACATATCCAACATCTAAACATACATAATTACATGCACACCAGTCAAATCTTTAACATTATGTCAAAAATACCATCATCAGTATTTTTTGAAAGTGAAATACACCTTTCAATGCATAGGTTTACGATACTAATGTGTTATAAATGTAAATATCAATGTCTGCATACATGGGTGTTAGATATGTAAATACATAAGAAATGTCTGGTATGTATGTAAAATTCCCTTTTCTGAATAAACTATGAAGAGCCTGAAAAAGCCATATTGCTCCAAATGTACTTAATCTATGCCAACATTTTCTTTGTGTGCATATCAAGCAGCTGAACCTCAAAAACCATTAATAAAAATCATGAAATAAAAACAACAACAAAATACAGAGCTCTTCCCAAATGATGCAATAAATTGTATAAACAAGTAGATGTAATGCTACGCAACAAGTAACACTTTACACATGTTGAGATATCATTTCATTTTCTTTCATTATAGCGATTTAATACATGAATATAATCATGTATATAGAACTAGGTATTCCTAGCATAATGGAAAGCATACATTCAAAATCAGAATAATTCAAGCATTTTAAGCAAACAAGAAAAGTGACAAAATAATTTCGAGCCCCAACTCGTTTTTAGGAGTCATGTTAGTCCCTAAGTCTATAAAGTTTCAATTTAGTCCCCCGAGTCATTTGAAAGGGAAATAAATAGTCCTCCCTGGGGACTATTTCAGCCATATTAAAATAGTCTAGGGACTAATTTGACACTTTTATAGACTTTGGGACTAAAATGACCACATGTAAATAATCAGGGACAATTTTAGCACTTTACTCTAGTTGAAGCATTTCTTATGAGGATATGCATTGTGTCTTTTCTATATTTCCTACCCCGTACCTCGGCTACTTTCCATATCAAATATTCCCCTCATAAAACAAAGGTTTGCCAATTATCAAGGATAAGATCATGAATTTGAAGGAAAAACACATTCACTGTACATAATTAGTTAGAGATTAAAGAAAACAAACAACTTTATTCTTTCAATTGAAATCATCACAAAATGTAAAATGGATAAAAATCATGCAAAATGATATGCATAAATTTAATTGTTCATATAATATTCAAAATAAAAGGAGAATATGGATTTATAAAGACAACACTATAGTTGGAATTAAGTCTAATGATAATAAAAAATGAAAGCTCCAAGTCAAATAAAAGCGTGAATGGAGAAATAATAAAGGTGTGAACTATATTTGGAGCATCATAATCATTATAAATTTCACTCATTTAAGTATCAAGTTAAGAAAGGAAATTAACCAAGAAAGAGAATAGTTATGAATTGCCTTAAAAAGTGCAAAATGTGGCTAGAGGATGGAAAAGAAATGCATATAACAAGGAAAAACAAGAAGGTCTATTTAGTTACGCAAAAAGTTAGACAAGAAGCCATAAATCCTTCCCTGAGACTTAAGGTTACCTATTTATAGAAATAAAAGAAAAATACAGATTTGATTTTTGAGAGGCTGGGTATGAAGTAAACAAATAAAAAATATATCTTTTTGACAAATTTAATATACCTTAAATTACTAATTTTTTTTATTAATTACAAACCTCAATCTCAAGGGATTCGGCAAGGAAAAAATAACGCACATTGCTTGCATGGATTAAAAGGATATTACAACAACGTCCTGGTAAAGATTTTGGTTGTTAATCTATGTCATCATCATAAACATAACAATCATAAAGGGGAGTTGTTAATAACTTGAATGTAAAGATTCTTCCAAGCAGATGCACGCAGTTTGCAAGAAGGAGAAGCCAAGCCCCATCGCATGCAGTACCTACAAGCCATACAGTACATTATATCTCAATAAATAACAGAATCCGGTAGCTTATAAAGCTTAAACAAAAAATATAAGAAAAAAAAAATCTAGAGATCGGGAAAAAGAGGATTTGTGCTCACAGACGACGCCACAGGCTCTCATCAGAGGCCGCATAGCACAAGAACTTGCATACAATAGAGCATGAAATAAGATCCTGCCACTCAAATACCAATCAGAGCAAGCCATTCAATTGAGAAATCCTGAAACTTACTAAGCATCTCCCATTCGCCATACCTCGGATGAGAGAAACTTCAAGATGTGGTGGATGACCTCAGGCGGGATATTGCTGAAAACACCGCTTTCGATCCGTGTAGAAGACGGAAGAGGAAGAACCTGATTGCGACGAACTTGGCGAGAGCAATCTTCTTCGGTTCGGGGCCTTTTCGATGGCCTGCTAGCTCCTCCAGTATCTTCCTCCGAACAAACCTATTCGACAAATCGTTGAGGAAATCTAGCAGAACAAACCTAAAGAAGCCCTAACTCCATGAAAAGAGAGCTTCTCAATTACAGGATGAAGATATAACCTGTGCTGGCGCACCAGAAAGCATGCTGGATTCGACGAAATCAACTAAGAGGTGTTCCTCGTCGGCATCTGCCATCTCGAAGCTAGCTTACACGGAGAAGCGGTGATGAAGTGTTGTGGAAAGGACGCTGTAAAGAATATATACGGGAAATTTACATTTGAAGCCATAATTTTTATTTATTTAAACTCGGCACCACAATATTATCACTTTGGATAAAATATTTTTTAAAATTATTTTTACTGAAATCTGCATTTTCATATCGATCTTGACTAGATGCAATGACAGCTTTCTAGCTACGGGTTAATATAATATATATATATATATATATATATAATTATCACTGTAATTTTTTCAACATCATATAATTTTTCAGCAATTTCACAGTTGATTTTTAATATGTTACAGCTCTCAAAAATATCACAAATGTAAACTTTTATATTTACATATAGCGTTTTATTTTTTTAAATCCATAAGTTAAAATTTTGTATTTTATTTTTTAATGTGTTATTAAAAATTTGAGTACTAAAGATTGTCTGGCAACCGATGATTTAGCAAATCCCGTAAATCAGGACTTACTAAATCCTAAGATGGTTAAATCCCAAAAGTTGTATGGCAATGAAATCCTATAAATAAATTAAAACTGTTTGGGAAGTTCTACCTACATCCAATAGCTTTGTCCTGTAAATCTCATAAATCCGCCGATTTGTGATATTTGTAGTAGAAATACATAAAATTTGAATTTATCAAATCCTTGGCTTTATTTTGTCCAAAATAACCATCCGGCCCGCTCTAAATCCGTTACCAAACATCCCCTAAGGGTGTAAATATGAAGGTTGAGATGTGAGATACATAAATATATAAGAATTATGTGCTAAGTAATTGAAGCACCTACATTAGAAAAGAATAAATGATTGAAATTTATGTAAAGTGACAACATACCCAATATTGCATGAGCATATATGTCTTTTATTTAAGTTAACATTGCATATCTACCAATCATAATTATAAAACTAATACAAGATTTAGTTACTATTTAGGATCCATGTATGATAAGAATGCAATGCACATTAAATATAGGAAGATTTCCCATCGATACCAATCAATTTTTTACACACACATCATTTTACCTACACATTAAAATGTGTATTTCAATTTTTAAATGGTAAAAAGTGGTATCACCACAATTGCTAGTAGCCACAACTTGTGAATGGTCTTAGAGATAAAGGGGATTCATATAAAATTTTATATTTATATTGCATTATATTACCCACATAAAATAATATAAAAAACATCAAACACTTCTTAAGAGGACAAAACATTAATCCATACATGTGGATTAGTTGTATACACCCCCATTACACACATCGGCACATAAGAATCATCCACACGTAATATTTTTTTTCTCCTAGGAGGGGTACGAAGGGTGTGGACTTGATTTGCCATCGAAACAAATTAAAATTGAGCTAATGATCTAACATGAACATAAACAACCTTAATGTTACATGTGGTCGTTCATATGTGCGAATTAGGGATGTACGCCCCCAATACACTGGGAATACACCCTGAGTACACCCTAAATGTAGTCATCTGCATGTCATATCTTTTCCTAATGCTGAGAGAAGATGAAAACCACATGAAAACAAGTTCAAACCATGAAGTTTGTGCTTCCAAAACCAAGCAAAATACAGAAAGAAGTCACATCAGAATTTGTACAAAACATGTAAAAAAACCAAATTGGCATTGAATGGCTGTAAATTTAAACTATGCCTAATCTAAATCAAGAGCCGGTCTTCCTTTGCTGCATGTAAAAGGCAAAGAGTTTAGTCGCCTAAAAATAGCCAAGTTAAATTCTATGGGGGATCATTTGGATTTCAGGAAGTGGGGAGAGAGCAACTTTGCAATTTCCATCATTCCTATTTTGTCCTTTCCTTCGAATATTATCTTCAGCTTCTCATCACAGATTATCTCCTTCTTGTTTGATGGGTTCTGCAATGGCCAATGCATCATAGTTAAATGGAAGAATATATTTATAAAACAAAAAAGATGCTTCTTTTGCATTGCAAGAGGCAACTTTTGCCAAAACGTTCAAGTTTTTTATTAATGAAAAGTAGACATACAATAACTATGGAAAGCCAACAATTTATGAGACAAGAAGTAAGAAAAGGGGATTTATATAAATACCACACAATTCTTAAGAATTTAGATACCCATAGATGATACTAAAATTTTAAACATCACATTAAAAATACAACTACTAATAAAATTCTAAAGTGAAGTACAAACATTTCATGTCTTAGTTTAGATGAGATTAGGATGCTAAAGCGTATATGTAAATATAAAAATGCATGTGTAAGATATGTAAAATACATAGAATTGTGTGGAATGTCAAGCAAACAAAATATTGTAAAGTTTCAACATTTTGAAAGTTTGAAATGGTTGAAAGCAAATTAGCAGACGAAGCCCAAGTTTTATTCAGAAGTCCAAGTAAAATCCTTCTCATCTGATAAAAAAAATATTAGTTTGAAAGTTACAGCAATCCATGAACAAAAGGAAGCGGAAGGGCAAGACATATACACTTCATTTGCAAGTCAAATTGGACATAAAAATAAAATAATATAATTCAAAACAGACAATAGGAAGTACTAATTTGTTTTAAGAGTTAGAGATCAGAAAAAAATATAGGTATATTTACATAAATATCACCTCTTACGTATTACATATCTAATACCTAAACTTAGCCTTTTACATTTAGACCACCCAAATCTTTCATATCAAATCCCACCATTTTAACTTCTAAAGATCAAATTCAACTTTTCATGCATAGGTGAGGTGGTATGCATGCAAAAATGAAAGCTTAGGTGTTAGATGTGTAAATACATAAAAATTTAGTGGTATGTATGTAAATCATCCACAAAGACAACGGGTTAAGCTAGTTGGATATATTGCATCTCCTGGTTCTAAATAGCATGGTCAAGTTGGACAATTATAGCATTTATAAACATAGGTTTGGAATTTAAATGACAGTTTAGATCTTTAGATGCATGCATGTAACGGTAATTAATAAGCTCATCTACTAAACTAAAAATTGAAATTGACTACGAATAAGCAATAATAATTAAATAATATTAAAAAACATATTATAAGCTATCATGATTTGCTAGAAACAGGGAAAACATCGTGCTATCTATATGTCATATTTTGATAGACCAACTCACCAACCGCAAATTGAACAAATCATTGTCAATAACATTGAAATTCTTATCAAGAAATTTCACTAAAAGAAAGAGCTATAAACCCACATGATAATCTACAAACTTGAATATGCAAAAGAAAGCAAGAAATTAGATTTCTTGAATTTGAACTAATCTCAAAGTAAAATCAAAAAAAATTTCAGCCAAAAGATGTAAAAGTTGAAATATATTTTTAACATGGCGATTGCATAAGCTAAAATTGATCACATCAAGCACTGTGCCAAATGAGCCAATTTCAAGCATAATAAAATTGAAAAATCAATATGTGATAATTTATTTATCAGCAGACACAAGCAAAACTTGCTAATATTAAATTTTGTGGTTATTAAATGGTTCATTCATAAATAGAAGCCAACATGAATTGTGATTAGTTTGAATAAGAGGAATGGGGATTCTATACAGAACACTCAAACACTATTACACATTTCACACCAAAAGTTCACTATTTAAACACCCATCACTCCAAAATTTAAATAATATAAAAAAATAAAACCATCTTAATCCTCTTAGTGGCAACCCCATCACCAATTGAAAGGAGAATTGTCATCGATGCAATTGACATAAAATGGTGGCTTAAGTTTGGGTTGGGCGGAACAACACATTTTAGAAACTCTTCTTTTATTTCATTTGTAATGATTCCATCAATTCCTTTAATAGGAAGCTCATATTTCAACTTCTCCTTTACATACCATCGATTTGTCTGATACCTTCGAAAATGAGCTCCAATGGCAACTTTGTTGTTTCTTTTGTCTTTGATGGTTTGCGGGAAAGATTGCGAGAGAGAAAAGATTAAAAGAGAGAGCAGAAAGGAAAAAAGTGCAAGAGAACTACGGTGTTTGCAGGAGTTGCGTGTGGGCATCTTTCTTAATGAGAAGTTCATTGTAACTTCCTTGAGTATGGCAGGATCCTTGTAATTTCGTTAACTTCATTAATTGAGTGTAATATTATGTAAATAGAGAAGTTTAAGTGTTAAATGTGTAAACACAATAGATTTAAATGCTATGAATCTAAATCCTCATTAACTAAACAAATATGTTGTACAGACATGACCATTGGCAAGGGTGGACTTTAAGAACATAAATGAGCGCATCTGTGTCTGTGTGTGCTAAAATTAAACATTTAATTTGTGACCCCTTCTTTAAAAAATTTAAAAATTAAATTAATTTTATAGAAAAATAATTCTTAGCTCTGTGCTAGGCTCATGAGGCTTTGGATTTATTCACACATTATATATTGGGAAACATATTAGTGTAATAATACTAAGCAGTCGACCTTAACCAATAAGCTTAAGCTTGGAGTTGAAAATCACTTTGATCACCGGTGTATCTAAAACAATACCGTTCCCCTTTGATTCACTCCATATTGAACGGTATCAAATTTTATGTCTTGATTGTGATTGAATGATTCAAGCTATTTATAGTTTTCATGGGTTTTCGAAGATTTTACCGCGGTTAAGCAAAGTTCAACAAAGGGTAACTCCCAAGTTGCCTTCAAGTGGCCATGTGAGCCATTCATGCATGATACATGATGAGTTTCTAGTTGTGGAAAGATGGCCAATGTGCAGTGCTTTTATGAAAAAGAGACACTATTAAAGCATATAAGACTTGGGGTTTACTCTCAATTTGAATAGTTAATATAAGATTATCATGTGTTAACCCTCACTATAGACTTAAGCTTGAGTTGAAAATGACCATGACTACTGATTCATGCAGTTCAACTCCAAACAACCATTAGTTCGCTCCCTAACATAAGTTTAAGGCCCATTTAAATGTTTGTACATGATCGCCTTAGAAAGAAATAATTTTGATTTCATTCATTTTGAGTGTAAAAGTGAACCACATTTCTTTTTGTGGGATTTTAAAGGCGACTCGATATTTGAAAATTAGTGCTGATTTCAATCTAAATCCAACCATATAATGGACTTTGAAAAATTCATCATATTTCAAACCTAGTTTCTAAACTGAAGCAAACAATTGAGGCCTAAAGCAAATTTAAATATTGTCCTCAAAGAAAACAAATACAGTGAATACCTTCAGTGATCCACAAAAATTTAACTTCATAGAAACCGCAACATGAACTCCTACTGCAAAACTGAAGCCAGCAAGCTCAAAATTATCGATCAGGAGAAAAGACAGAGACTTCATAACAAACATAAATAAAACCATCACTGCCAAAGTTTCCCCAAACTCAAATGAGCAGAAAGACAAAGCTAAATGCACTGAACTGGTTCGCCCAAAAAGATAACCCAATCACCACATCAATTTCACTCCACTTTTACTTCAACCATAAAATCCAGTATAAAAAGCACGCGCCAGAGCTCAATCCATCAACCCATGAACCGCATAAGAACACTCAGCAACTCAACAACCATTATCTCACTATCAATCAACAACACCAACAAAATACACATCAAAGCAACAAGCATTGGAAATAAACCTGGAGCTGGTGGAGCTTGATGTAGTCCCACACCTTCTTGACGGCCTCAGCGCGTGAGATCTCCGGCTGTCCGATGAACTTCCGCATAGCCGCCGACACAGGCAACGGCTTCAATATCCCCTTAGGTTCCCTCGAGCCCGGAGCCGCGGCGTTCGCCTGAGACTTAGCCGCCGCCGTGAGAGGCCTTGCACCTCTGAATACCCTAAGCATGGCTTCCAAGCCCCCACTGCGAGTTCGTTGATACCTAGGTTGGAGAAAGGGCGGCCGGACAGTGAACAAGGGTTTTGAGTACTGGAGCTTTGATGCCATGCGGGGCAAAATAAGCTTATTTTGCTCGCTCTATAATTAGGTATTTGATGAAAAGTATTTTAAGAAATATAAAATATTGTATATAATATATTACATATTCGCTATGCTTTTTTTACACTGCATTTCTTTTTCAGCAAATTAAATAACCTACAAATGTTGTTAAATGAATGAAAAGATTTAAAGGTGTGATTACATGCATAGTACTCAAAATATTGGTATTTTTAAATTTAGCATATCCTTTCATCAATTTTTTGAATTCTCAGTCAAATTCCAAGATTTATGGAAGCCCTCAAAATCATGTCTAACATCCAAAATGTTAATATCACATAAGAAAATGCCATTGTCTAGTTTTTTGAAAGTGGTAGCGTTAAATTTTAATGTCACGTATGTAGGATGTTTATATGACTAGCTCGGGATGATTCATGACTCATTCATAGCAACTGTAGCTAAAGCCATCCATTCGAGACTTTCGGTATCAGTTTGGTGCGCGAAACCGGGTCTGCGACGATCTGTTCTTACCCGGGAGAATCCGTCATTGAGTGGGCTTATTGAATCAATCAAAGCGCACTACGGAAAAATTAGAGTTTGGAACGCTCTACTTGGGCCATAGTTTAGAGAGAGCTCGTCGACGACAAATTCTACGATCATTAGACGAGAAAAACACTCTTTTTTGAGGTTAGGGGATCATAGGTTACTCAAATGTCGTCTCTGATAGTCTTCAGATTGAGAAAACCCTCAGTTAGGTGCTCCCGGTGTAAATCTGAATTTTTGCGGCTAGATCGATGCCTAGACGCCAGCCCCGGGTGGCTAGGCACCCAAAATGCCTTGTCATATGGTCAAGACCGAGCCCCCCGAAAGTCTGTTGCTAGTTTATGGTGCATGGGAGCCCAAAACAACCCAAAAAGTCATTTTTCAGATAGACTGGAAAGTGGGCACCTCCTAGGTGGCGCCTAGGCACCGACCCATTTCCAGATCACAAAAGAATTTGTTTTTTGCGCCGATATGACCCCAACACACCTCCTTAGGCAGCCATAATTGCAAAGATTACCTTGGGCATTGGAGGATTTGCTTAGAGGTAAGGAAAAATGAGCCATCATGCCACTTTTGGAGGTCTTAAGTACCCTCATTAGCCCATTTTTGGCTGAATCAAGGGACATGTTTGGGATTCCTCGGGTGAGCTGATTTTAAGCTTCACCCTCTCCTCATTCTTAAGGGATCTCCGCTTCATTTTCAGTTGGGGGACTGGTGAGGGGAGCTAAGGGAGAGCTTCTTCTTCCACTCGGAGATCTTGGAGGTGTCTTGGAGAGAGATTTTTGGATCCTTCATATTCCTCAAGAAGAGAAAGCCAAGGTAGCCCATCTCTTTCATTTTCCTCTTCTCCTTCACCCTTCTTTCTCTCCTCCGACGATCTCATAATACTCCGATGAGCTTGTCGGGGAGTACCACTAGGAAAGTTTCATCCTAGCTTGCCGGAAGGGCAACACTAGTGAGCTCACGGTCTCTCCTTGGAAGAAGAGCTTCATCCTACGTGGTTGATGGAGAACCTTTGACGAGCTCCGTGGATCATTTGTAATACCTTGAACAAGAGAAGGATATTCATCCACCTTCTGGAGTACAATAACCCTCAAGAGAGCTTTCACTCTATAGACTCACCGGTTTGGCTAGCTAAATACACAAGCATTTATTATATAGATGTTATGTTATGTATCAGGTGTTATAACAAAGACTATAATCAGTATGATCAAAACATGTTACATATTAATGGGTCTATCTTTTGCACAAGCAAGATCTATTTCACATAATAAGCAACGACACCAGTTTATGCATGTTCTTACCATCAACGAGTTATAAAAACTTTTCTTAATTTATAGTCCATAATTTATTCATCTACACCTCTTTAAATTTGTTGACACGCTAATTACATTTGGTTTTTCAATTATTTGGACACTTAATACGATACACATAAACCATTTACAATATAGCTCACCAACGGAACTTGCCTCTAAGAGGGGCTAGCTTCGGGCATGCTCGAATCACTAATACTGCATGGCTCTACGAATGGGTTAGGAGCGTTTTCACCCGAATTAACACGGCGGCATCAGAATCGCTTGGCACAGTCGACCACCAGTAACAAAAATATACGTTGCTTACAGCACGACAGAGCTAGCTCCAAAGTTTTTCTCCAACATCTTTATAAGAAATCAATAATTTGAAGTTTATGCGTTGGATATGTAAATACATAGGAAATGAGTGGTCTGTATGCAAATCTTCCTAATCTTTTTTTATATATTTACTTTAATATCAAGTGTGAAAAGTATGAAAGCAGCATATCGTAATTTGCTGCATATAGTAATATGCCAGCAGCCCTTCCAGCAATAGGAACCAGCATATTTTAAGATTCTCGAAACTTCTATTCTTCTATCAAGTGTTCTTAAATTCCTTTCTCGATTCTTTCTAGATCTTTCTAGAAGTTAGCTTGAACCTGAGGTTGAGCTGCAAGGACATATGGC